ATGATCAGCCTCAGGTTTTCTATTTTTGATATGTAACTAATTATGGGATTAAGAGAGTCTGTGTTCTTTCTTAAGAAAGAGCAACTTTGCAAATCTAAAAGAAACACAGATGACTTTTGGGGGCAACTTCCTCCATAAAAAGAAAGTTTCTGGAACAAAGAAGCAGATCTTAATACTGTCTAATCCTAATACTTTCTTAGCTCTGCTCTGGCTTGAGGGAATCTGTTTGTGTGTAAACATAGCAACAGGAGAATAGAGCTACTCTCATTTATTGTTTTTTTATTTTTCATCCCTTTGGCCATTTTGGCAGACCACCCTTGTGCACACTGCAACGTGGGACGTGAGATTACATCTCTTCCTGAAGTGCTTTTGATAACATATTCAGATAAGGTGTAAAGGACCATGAATTCTTACACTAACATTACTTTCACCTATTACTCCTTACTAATATTCAGCTTTTCGATAAGTGTCATGCCACACATTACAAAAGGTAGCCTGAATTTTGCTGCATAGGACTGCTGTATAAGTAATTTTCATATCCTTACTGCATTTTTCTAATGGTTGATCACTTGAGGGAGAATTACAGTATTCCAAAACAGATATTTTAATTTCTATATATAAGATATCTACATATTACATCACTGTACGTGGAACTCGAATCATCAATTATTTTGCATAATCTAAAATTGATAGCAACTGGTTTTGTAGTTCTATGACAATGCCAACTTTGTGTTAGGTTGCCATAAGCATAACAACATGAAGGGGAAAGAGTTTGGATTTTATGTTATAGCCATTTAGGAGCAGTTTTTAGTCCTTGTGGTTGTATAGACAGACCTTCTGTGGCACAGTGAATCAATATACTTCTGTCTACTTGTTGACTCTGGTGGACTTGAAGCAGCATCATTAGTTTACCTTGTAACATGCCAAGATGCAATTAGTTACATAAAAATGCTATTAAAAAGCAGTCCAACACAAACATGTGCTTTTGCCATGGAAATTTAAAAATGCAATCCTGACACTAATCCCTTAAAGAATCCAGATCTTTAAAGATTCAAACAGGTCACGAATCAGTATAAAAGCAATCCCTTATGGTGCTGTAGTGCATCCTGCCTGAACACAGTAAAAATAGTTTAAACAGTCAATTTCATTTAAATGATTATGATTCAGGGAAAAGCCCTGCCAAAAATCTACTCAGCATACCTATACCTCCCAGTGAAATTTAGACTTTATTGTAAAAACCTACTAAAATTCTAGAAAAGAAGTGTTAAAAAGAATGTGCAGACTAAAAGGAATGGTATTTATAAGCAAGAAAAAGTGAATGCACATGGTATGTAATCATTAGTAAAATCCAGTGCTGCTGGAGTTCACACAGATTAATTGCACAGCTGGATAATAACACTGGAGATGTTTATGACCAAGTGTTATTTGTACTTCCTTTGTATAAGATAAGGACAACCACAGTTCTCCTTCTGAATCATAAACTGATCAACCCAGCTTTCCGCCCACTGAGATTTCTCCCTCTGCAGGGCAGTCTCAACAGATTTAGGGCCAGACTGTGAAATTACTTGGACGTATGGTCTTCAGAATGCAACCCCAAGAAGAAACCACCTACACCTAATCACTTAGGCACAAGTCTGAAACCCATTCCTTTCCAAAACACGCCCAAATCAGGTCCTGTAGGCATACACCTCCAGAGCCCAAGTCCTTTCCTGAAGATAAATGGATGGGACACAAGGTTCACTTTTAAAATAGGTCTAGAGGAGAAATATTATCTTATTGAGTAACTGATGGGGTAAAGCACTTAGAAAAGAGGGAAGACTGGGCTCAGTGCCTTCCTCAGCCTAATGGGGATTCAATCCCACATCTCCTACTTAAGTGCAAGAGGCATCCAGCTACAACAGCCATGCGGATGAAGAGAGTGAAATAAAGAATGCAAACTGTTGTTTCTTTCTCCTTTAGAAGTCACAATTTCAAAGCCAAGCAGCTTTTACTGCATTTTAAAAGCATCACAAACCTATTTATGTACTAGGTATGGTAGAAGCATGGATGAGTCGTGTTTACTGGAGTCAACTGCTCTCCACCTGGAGCTTGGATTGGGGTGGGGAAGACAGGCATTCAGGCTGTGGTATTTCTTGTCATGACAAAGGCACATCCCAGAAACATCATGCATCTAAACATAAAGGAATATAGTCCTAACACCCGAGCTAGCTCAACTTCCAGAGCTGCCGCTACGCTTGCATGAAACCTTCTTAAAATGTAATCTGTCAAATCGCAGCTATATGTGTTGTGGATAAACACCCAGAAACACTGCACGGTTTAACACTGGAGTGAAACAGTGCTCAGTCATCCCATAGTCAGGACACTTAATCCTCAACCAGTCTGGGAGAAATAACAAAACTGCTGCTTAGTGCCACATCCTTCATCTTGGGAAGATGTTTATACAAAGAAACATAAGAAAAAAATGCATTATAAGTGGTCTGGGGAACGTGTGCCTTTCTAGACCCTTCCCTACCCAAAACTTTTACAAACAAACATTTTCTATTACTTTTAAGCAACTGTGCATAGTTGAGCC